AAAAAAAAAAAAAATGCTATGGGGATCAGGGGATTATTGTCACAAAGAAACACTCTTTTTTTCTTTTGCACTACTGGGATTGAGACCAGGGCCTGACACAAACTAGGCAAACACTCTTCCACTGAGCTACATCCCCAGCCTAAGAAACATTCTTAATAGTAAACTAAGCAGAATCAGGGAAGCATTATGTATAACAACATCTCCTGGTCCACAACAGTAGATGTCCTGGTGTATGATCTGCTAATTCTAGCCTCAGCACATCCCTAAGACGCATTATATGTTGTTAATCCCATTTTACAGGGGTGTAAACTAAGGCTTCTGGAGGCTAAGTCATGGCCAAGAAGACACAGCTAAGAGTGGAAGACCCAAGAATAAACCCAACCCCAGCCACCCGTCCAGCACTGCCATCCTCTCCCACCACGCACACTGCCTGCCTTCTTCAGGCCCTGCTCACACCCCACCTCTTTCAGGGAGCTTTCCTGCCCTCTCCCCCTTCCTGGGCAGCATCTTCCATTTTCTAAGCTTTTCAACAGTCACTATGTCAGGGATAAAGTACGAAGGGCATTATATTGATACAGAGGTGTGGCAAGCAATGTCCAGCTGGGCGTGATGGTGCACACCTGTAGTCCCAGCAGCTTGGAAAGCTGAGATAGGAGGATCATGAATTCAAAGCCAGCCTCAGCAACTTAGTGGGGTCCTAAGTAATTTAGTGACACCTGACTCTAAATAAAATACAAAAATGGGATGGGATTGTAGCTCAGTTGTTAAGTGCCCCTGGGTTCAATCCCCAGTACCAAAAAACAAGAAAAAAAAAATGCTCTGTCCAAGGGCACACTGGGAGGCAAGGCAGAACCAGGCCTAGACCCCAGTGCTATTTTAATTTGTCACCAGTGGACTGTGAGTCCTTGAAGCACATAGATCTATGCCTGAATACTGTTAATGGATGAGTGGGGAGGGGACATGTGTCCAGCTGACTGTGGGTGGGGCCATCTCACAGGCTCGTTACTGGCCATTTCCCATCGCTGCTTTCCTGAGTGCTGACAACCAGGACCCAGCACATAAGGCACCCCTCTAGTCATCACAGCTAGAGGTCAAGAGCACAGACTCAAAAACCAGACTGCTGGGGGCTGGGGTTGTGGCTCAGTGACAGAGTGCTTGCCTCGCACATGTGAGGCACTGGGTTCGAACCTCAGCACCACATAAAAATAAACAAACAAAATAAAGATATCGTGTCCCTCTATAACTAAAAAATTTTTAAATTAAAAAAACAAAAACAAAAACAAACAAACAAACAAAAAAAAAAAACCACAACCCACAGACTGCTAGAGTCCAAATCTCAGCTCAGCCACCCATTGGTTGTTGTGATTTCAGGAATGATCCTTTCTTTCTGTGTCTCTCTCTGTCCCTTCACCTTTAAAATGGGTATAATAAGCTACTTAGCAAAACCCTGTCTCAAAATAAACAGTAAAAAGGGCTCGGAATGTAGTTCAGTGCTAAAGTGCCTTCGGTTCAATTCCCAGTAAAAAAATAATAATAATAATAATAAGTGGGAGGACTACAAGAACATCTTCCTCACAGGGTTGTTTCGAGGATTTGGTGAGTTAATACCCATAATGCAGTTTTCGTAGTGCCTGGCACATAATCAGAGTTCAGAGATGGTGGCCAGCATTCCTATCAGTGTCTGCAACTCCATGTCACAGAGGAAACCGAGGCTCAGTAAAATGTGGAAGCTTGGCCTACCTGAGGGCCAGAGCAGAGGCTTTGGAGTCGGGACTCACGTGTGGCAGGGCCAGGGAGCACCGGCTGCTGCACTCGTAGGCCTCCTTGTGGCGTCCCAGCTCATTGAGGGCGCGCGCCTTGCGGAACAGCGCCCGGATGCTCTCGCTATCCAGGAGCAGCGCCTTCTCACTGTCCTCCAGTGCTTTCTCATACAGGCCCTGTGGGAGAGGAGTGGGGGGCCAACTAGTCAGCACCTGCGCACTCTGTCCCAGGCTCCTAACCCCATCTAGGGCTGAACAACAGCGTCCCTTCCCTGCAGAGCAGGAGCAGGGGCAGGGCTGGGCTCAGGAGCAGGGCTTGAGAGGTCCCAGGGAAAAGGCCACATTCAGACAATGAGTAGGGGCATTTGTGTGTGCAGCTGGCAGGCTGCAGTGGGCACTGGCAGGACAATGCAGGGATGGCTGCAGGTTGTGCAGTGCTGAGCCTGGTCCTCCCCCACATATTTGCACATCTGTCTTCAGTTTAAATCATCAAGTGCGGAAGAGTGGCCCCTCTGAGAAGTGAAATTCTAGGGCAGCTCTGCACAAAGAAGTGTGCAGAGGGCCAAATCCTTAGGCTGGATTGCAGAGGTCTCCCTAGACCCTCTGCATGTCTGCAGCAGAGCTTCCCACAGGACCTGAACAGCAGCTGAGCCAGAGTAGGAGTGGGATAGGGAAGAGGAGGAGGCTGGAGCTCTAAGGAGGAGCTTGGGGAGAGCAAGGAGGCTGGGAGGAAGAAGTGGGGCAGGTTAGACTCCCACCAATGTCCAATGTCACCTCGAGATTCTAACTCAGTTCATTTGGGGCGGGGCTAGGGCATCAGTACCATGTTTTAAGAACTTTTTATTTTGTATCCATATTCCTTTTTTTTTGGAGATAGGGTCTTGCCTGAGCTTGCACAGGCTGATCCTGAATCCCTGGGCTCAAGCAATCCTCCTGTCTCAGCCTCCGGAGTAGCTGGAACTATAGGCCACCTGGCTTATCTGTTTTTTAAAGTTCTCCAGGTGAGTCTGTTGTGCAGCTGGGACTGAGGGCCTCAGGAATAGAGAGTAAGAGTCAGACAGGGGGAGACAAAGGAGGCCAGCCCCAGGCCTTCGTACTCACTGGGTGTAGGACTACCTGGAGGGGGCATCCGGGGGACATGGTGAGCAGCAGGAGAGAGGGCAGGGGAGTCGACTCACCATGGTGAAGTAGCAGGCAGCCCTGTTCACATGCAGCTTGCACAGCAGCTCCTGGGGCAGGGCCACCTGGTCAGAGGCAGCGTAGTCAGCCACGTTCAGCCCCTCCATGTACTGCACCAGGGCCTGCTTATAGTCCTTCTCTCGAAACAGGTCATTGCCCTCAGCAAACAGATTCTGCACCAGCTTGAGCAGGAAGGCCTGTCAGGGCAGGGTGCACAGGGAGCTCAGGGGCTCTTCTCCATGCAGCTCTGGCCCCAGCCCCCAACCCTCTTCCCTGGATGGGCTCGCCCTTCACCTTCATCCAACCCAGCAGCTGACACTCACCTCATACTCTTCTTGCTTTAGGGGTAGTGTTGACCTAGCAGATAAAGAGAGGGACACAGGTCTGTGTGAGCCCAGGGGTCTCAGACTCATGGAGGTCCCAGAGTTATAGAACTACAAGCATCAGGTCATACCAGGAGAGGGCCGCTCCAACTTGGACCTCAGTACTTTGTGGGCTGGGGTGAGGGGACAGCATGCAGGTTGGTGGACTCTGATGGAAGGACTTGCAATTTCCCCAGGGCCCAACAGCCAGGCTCTCCCAGGTATAGATGCTGAGAAAGAGCAGACCAGTGCCAGCAGCAGGTTTGGCTCAGCGGCTATCCTCTGCCTGAAACCAGCCCTCTCCTAATAAGAGAGCACAGGTTCCAAGTCTCTCCATGTTACATGGGTGGCAGAGCCAAGGCTGGGCATAGGGCTGCAGCTCAAGGCCTGGAGGAGGGGATAGCCCAGGGGGGCTCACACAGAAGGTGGGGAATCTACCTTAGGCCCCCTTGCTAAACACATGGAACACGTATATGTGAAAACTCTCAGGGGAATGGGGCAAAGCCAGTGAGACAGACTGTAACAGGAGCAGGTCCTACTGTGTGGCCTGTAAAGCCATGCCTCAAGAGGCCAAGAGGGGGGACAGGAAACCATACAGGAAGCAGAGAACTGGGACACAGATAAACTCTACAGAAATCAGTGACTGAGGTTAAAGGCACAGGATTCTGAGGCTGAACCCAGGGGCACGATCACTGAGCTACATCCTCTGCCCTCTCTATTTTTTTAATTTTGAAAGGATCTCACTACATTCTTGAGGCTGCCCTTGAACTTGCTATCTTCTTGCCTCAGCCTCCCAAGTTGTGGGATCATAGGTGTGTGCCACTTTGCCTGGCTTACAAGAGGAAAAACAGTAATTGCAAAGCTCACCTTGTTCGCCAGACCAGACTCTGATTAAATCTGATTACTTCTTGAAAATCAAACAGTTGCTTCCCCAAATGCAAGACCTGCCTAGGTGATGGGTAAAGCAGAGGCAGCTGCTCTGATGCTCAAGTGTGAGGACAGCCTGAGCCCCTCAGCTGCAGGATGCATTACCAACAGCCAGAGGCGGCGAGACACAAAGGGTCCCCTGGGGAAGGAGCTAGGAGAAGTGATGCATGGTGTTGACATAAACCTCACTGTATGAGAGCAACATGGAGTGACTATTTGAAAAGGGGCCTAGTTTGTGGTGCCACCGTGGGTAAGAAAAGGCAGGGAGTACTTTGTAAATTCAGGTGAGAGAACAAAACCCGGGAGTCTATAAGGGTTTACAGAGGCAAATTCAAGTTTCACAAGAACTCTACTTAAGAAAAAGAACAGGAAATTTCGAACATAGAATTGCTAGGGTGTGAGTATCTCCAAGGCCTCAGGAAAGGCCCATGCAAGTGAGGGGCCCCCGAAGCCTACGCTTCATTATTGTCATAATATATATGCCCCTGAGGATCTATTTAATGGAGACAAAAGAAAAAGGTTAGTAAAAATACTTTGCATACAAAGAAAAAAATGAAAAAACAACCATGGCACTTGGGTGCTGGGGAACATTTAATGGAAAAACATGGGTTTTGAAGTCAGCCAGGCCTGGCTTTGAACGCTGTCACTCAATAACTGTGTGACCTTAAATAAGATTTTTAACCTCTCTAAGCCTCAGCTTTCTTTCTTTCTTTCTTTCTTTTTCTTTCTTTCTCTTTCTTTTTGGCAGAGGGGTGCTGGGGATTAAACTCAAGGGCACTTGACCACTGAGCCACATCCCCAGCCCCTATTTTGTATTTTATTTAGAGACAGGGTCTCACTGAGTTGCTTAGTGCCTTGCCGTTGCTGGAATGGCCTTGAACTTGCAATCCTACTACCTCAGCCTCCCAAGCCACTGGGTATGTACTACCACACACACAGCTAAGCCTCAACTTTCTCATCTGCAAAATGGAAATAAAGTGACCTACTTTACTGGGCTGTTGTGAAAATTAAAGATGATGGAGAGATATACAGGGCCCAGCACAGAGAGACAGTCAGAGCTCAAAAAATAGGGACTATTGATTTGTTAGAAGATGCATGCAGATGTGCAAGAGAATTCACGGTGTGTGTGTGTGTGTGTGTGTGTGTGTGTGTGTGTGTGTGATGTGGAGGGTGAGGGTGGAGTAATATACTGGACAAGACCGGCAGGTAGCAAGGCACAGGGACTCCGTACCTGTGGAGCTGTGGCCTCTGCCTGGCCAGCCCCTTCTCCGCTCACCCACCTCTCCACACCCCAATATACACAGGAGCCTGACCCGCAGGGGCTCAGCCAGCAGGAAACAGGAGAGCAGGAGAGGGTGTGGCTTCCTGATGACCTGCCCTGCCCTGCCCACCACCTGCCGCACACTTACTGAATGAACTGCAGCCCCTTCTCGATGTCCGCCTTCCGTTTCTGCCTCTCCATCAGTCTCTGGGGAAGAGAGCACAGCACATCAGTCTGAGGCAGGGGCCTGGTCACTGTCGCCCCCCCACCCCTTTGTGCCGGCCATAAGTAGGCACTCTCTTACTCCGCTGATCCCACTTTGCAGCTGAGAAGGGGGTCTCAAGGATGAGGCCAATCTCAGGGTCTACACGGATCATCTGAAGCAGACCAGCTGTCACCCTGCATCCCTGTGGGTCCTGGGCTCCGAGCATGCATGGTGACCTCTGTGACGGAGGCTGTGTGGAGACCACCACACACGGCTTGGGCAACAGTGCTTCCCAGCATACCCTCAAGTTCACAGGAACAACCTTATTTTACCATCCAACTAAGCAGTCTGTGCTGCTCCCAGTGAGAAGCAACACAGAAAATGCAAAGTGAGGAGCAATGATTATATCAGTGACCACCCACACTGGGTCCTGCACTTGGAACAAGAATCTCAACAGTGCCGTGAGCCAGGTGTCATTTCTCCCCCCTTACCCAAGAGCTGAAGGTGGTCCAGGCCCCATTTGAACCCAGGAGATGCTTCCTCTCACGATCCCCAGCAGCCCCTCCACACACCACTGATGACCCCTGATTCAAACAGCCAGGGTGCTCATCTCTCCCGTGCCCAGCAGGCTGTGTGGGTCAGCCAGGGAAGGCCTCCGGACCTGTGGGGAAGCTTTCTTCCTCTCCTCCCAGCACACCTGTGGCTGCCCAGTCCTCACCACGAGGTGCAGTGCGTGCGAGGCCCAGGCTGAGTAGGTTTGGGTATGCCAGCGGTGATTGTGACACAGTCACTGCCCCAGGGAGCTTTTCATCTGGCACAGAAGACAGTGCTTGCCATTTATGACATCTGACACGTGCCCAATACGCGTCTGACTGTCCTTGAGGCGCTGTGGGTGAAGGCTCTGGGCTCAGACAGGCCTGGGTGTGATCCCAGCATTCACACTGTGTGACTTTGGGCCTCAGTGTCCAGAGGGGGAACTGACTGGCATGAGAGTTCACAAGGTGACAGGTGCAACAATAGTGGGGAAATATGTCACAACATTAGTCCTCCCTCTTGCAAAACACTCTGCATGTGCTCCTCGGGTTAGACACACAGGCTGTGTCCTGTCCTGAGAGGAGGAGGCAGTAGCAATGGCCCTGGCTGCTCGGTCATTCTCTCTGTCCTCAGCGTCCCTGTCTACCAAATAAGTCCCTCATCCCTCTGTGCTCCAGGCCTCAGCCACCACAGGACCGGGTACTCTTCCTGCCTCCTAGCCTCTGCTCTCAGTTCCTCCATGCTCCTGCCCATCCTACACGTGAAGTTCCCTCCTCCTGCAAAGCCTCTCCTCCCTATAGAGCCTCAAGATCCCTTAAGTGACCTCATTATGCAGTCACTCCTCTGATACAGGAATCTGGGGGCCACAGATGATTGCAGTCAGTCCTTGCTCTGGAAGTCACCACAGAATCTCCTGGCACTGGTTGGGGAGCTGCAGAAGGGCAGAAGCCTTTGCAGGCCTGACTTACATAAAACTTTAACAAAAAGGGTCAATCTGATTGACTAAGAGTGAATGAAGATGCCTTTATAACGACTAAACCAGGCTGGGGTTGTAGCTCAGTGGTAGAGCGCTTGCCTAGCACGTGGGAAACACTGGGTTTGATCCTCAGCACCACAAAAAAATAAATAAAATAAAGGTATTGTGTCCATCTACAGCTATACAAAATTTTTTAAAAAGATTGCTCGTTTCTAGGTTTTAACCTTCTAAGGTTACTAAGAATTAAAATTCTAACAGATGTAATTTTATATGCACACAAAAAGTTTCAGCTCTGTTTTCATTAAAGTACTGTAAAGAGTAAAGTATGTCATTTCCTTTTCCTTTTTTTTTTTTTTTTTTTGGTACCAGGGATTGAACCCCGGGGCCATTAACCACTGAGCCACATCCCCAGCATCCCTCTTTTTTTAATACTTTTTTTTTTAGTTGACAATGGACTTTATTTGTTTTTATGTGGTGCTGAGGATTGAACCCAGTGCCTCATGCATGCTAGGCAAGCACTTTACCACTGCGCCAAACCCCCATCCCCCCGCAGCCACTTTTACATTTTATTTAGAGACAGGGCCTCTCTAAATTCCTGAGGCTGATTTAGAACTCACAATCCTCCTGCCTCAGCCTCCCAAGCTGCTGGGATTACAGGTGTGCGCCACTGTAAACATTACTCATTTACTGAAGAGACAGACTCTCATGATGTGTTGAAAGCCTTTTCCACTTAGGTGTACTAGTCTGGGGACCTTGAGCTTCTAGGTAAAGACATTGATCAGAGTCCACATGGAACAGACACTTTAAGTGTTGGGCTAATGATTGGAATCTATGTTGTACAGGCATTGGGAGGTACCAAAGCTATTGGCTTCGCCCATGATTTTCTAATTGACTGTGCCCTATTAATCTTTGAATCTAAATTTTTCTGTAACTTTCATTTAGGTCCATCTCCACCTCCACCTCCCCACTGCTCCTATCTTTTTGCTAGCCTGTCTTCTTGGAGGAGACAGAGAAGAAAACTGCTGGCAGCCGAGGACTTCATGAATTTCAACCTTAAAAGAGTTACAGATGTAAAAATATATTTTTTAAAATTACAAGGTAAAAGAAATGTTTCTGGATGAGAAAGCATTTTTGCATGGTAAAATATTCTTGTTCCTAAGTCCAAGGTGAAAGAGCACAAAACTAAGGATGTAAACCAGTTGTTGAATGTCTGAGCTGTAGGAGTTTAGGAAAGATACATCTCAAAAAGTTTGCATATGTGACTAAATTGGCTATAAGTAGCACTTTCAGTTAGTTATTCGAATTTCTAGGTACTAAGAGAAAGCAAAGTCTGAGCATTCATCTGCTCTTACCTATCAAGATAATTTTCCTGGCCTGGGGATATAGCATGCACAAGGCCCTGGCTTCAATCCCCAGCACCGCCAAGAAAAAGATAATTTTCTTGTGTCTGTTAGGTTTTATTACTTAGGGAAGCTAAGGCTCAAAGGAACTAGGGTTTGTACAACTTCAGTTAAACAAACAACTTTTATTTTAGGTTATAACCCTACCATATGGATTTAACCAATTAATAAGGACATCAATGTAGTCATGCCCTTCAAGTAAAATATAAAGCTTAGGAGAACATTTTACCAGGCTGGTGTTCTCCAAACTAAAATTATATGTAGCTATAGTCTCTCTCAGACTTAAGTAGAAATAACAAGTTTAGCTGAGGATTTATTTGATATTTAATATTTTGTAATTGTAATTGTAATTGAGTAAAAATAGCTTATCATCAATAAGTGATATATAAATTTTGTGTTACTCTTTATACCAGTCTGAAAATTTAAATATATTTTTGGCAAGTTACAAGGACAGCCTTTTTATTTAAAGGTTAACAATATGAAAGATGGAAACATTTTGCCACTTTTTTTCACACATAGAAAAAGTTAAGAACTCTCAATTTTATTTGATTCATGTTTCAGATGTAATCTTGTATTGTGTTATTTGTCAAGGCCCCACCTTACCTGAGATAAATCTGCCTCTCACCCTACTCCATGTTAGGATGCCTCCAAAGTAAGCTAAATTTAAGTTGATTTAAAGTTGTGTTAAAAAGATAGATTTTTATTGTAAAGATTACTAAAATCTCAAAATAATCCAGGGATGTAATACAAAACTAAGTAAAGGTTTAGGTAAATTATAAAAGACATGTAACATTATCATATTTTAAAAGAAGATAAAATTGGGGCTGGGGATGTGGCTCAAGCGGTAGCACGCTCACTTAGCATGCATGCGACCCAGGTTCGATCCTCAGCACCATATACAAACAAAGATGTTGTATCCGCTGACAACTAAAAAGTAAATGTTAAAAAATTTTTTTTAAAAAAGTATTCCTTCTAATGGTACAACCTGAGTAAATTTTAAAATAAGCCATCACCCATGGGACTCCCACTTTAAGACTGGTAAAATTAGCCTGCTGGATGTTTCAAACCAAAAATTGGAGACTAAAGTAAGAAAAGTAAAAGGGCCAAGGAGAAAAACAGCCAATATTTGGCCTTTGCCCTCTGGGGTCAGCAAAGATCCAGTGAATGACAGGACTCCTCTCTGGGCCTTGCAACTCCCATGAGTCATCCCATCTGCCAATCAGGGAGATCAAGAGGACCCTAGAAAACAGGAAGCCAACCAGTGCACATTCTGCAAAGAGGAGGGTCATTGGAGAAGGAAATGTTCCTGATGCTTCCAAGGGAAGCCACACATAGTCAGAAAGACCCTGACCCCTCCTGGTAGATGGCACAACTGATAGAGGAAGACTAGAAAAGAAGTCAAGAGGCTTTGCACAAGTTCCCAAGAGTAATCTCTAAGGAATCTCAGTTCACTCTTAACAATAGATAAGAAAAAAGTTTTTTTTTTAAAATATTTATTTATTTTTTTAGTTGTAGTTGGACACAATATCTTTATTTTATTTATTTATATGGTGCTGAGGATCAAACCCAGGGCCTTGCAGGTACTAGGTGAGCACTCTACCACTGAGCCACAATCCCAGCCCCCCAAAAAGGTTAGTTTTGACCAACTTGATCTTAAATACCTGGAAGGAGAATATAACCAAAACCACAGTCCTACATAGCATTTGAAAGAAAAGGTAATAATTCTTTTAATGTAACTGGAGATATACATTTGTGTCAGACCTACCAAAAGTAAGTAAAACTGGGAAGCTATAAAGAAAGGGTTTTCTAACACTCAGCCTCTCGAATTGCTGGAAATACAGGTGTGCACCATGGCTTGCCTGGCCATGAATAGGTACCTGAACAGCTCTACCCTAAACCAGACTTCCACAACCATAGACTAGGATAAGTCACTAATTAGAAGTTCTCCAAATGGGGAAAATCTTAATTGTGCTTTAAAGGGTTAATAGGATTTGATTTGTTGGTATCAGAGAATGGAGACCACCTAGTGAGCTACATGTGAGTTTATGAAATTGCTGTCCTGTCCCATGTTTCATCCAGGTCTGACTGAAGACC